GCGTAGATGAGTTCGTCGATAGGGTGGGGAAAGTGGTGTCTGGTTTCGGGTAAGTGGTATAAGTGGTTGAAAGCTTCGTTGTGACTGTTTCATCGGTTCCGATATGCAAATAATACACACATACACTATACATGTATGGATAGGTATATATGTATAAAGCCGTTTGTTTGCTAGCCTTTTGTTTCAACGCAATTTATACTCTGACCGAGAGGAGCATTTTCTGTGTATAATGTAGGTATATATGCGTATAATACACTAGGTATTCCGGTATTCTGGCTGGTTTAGGTACCACATCAAACCTTATGGCGGCATCGAGTCGATATTTGGATACCTATATCCACACATATAATTATAAATCGTCGTTAGGGCTACGTTTTACGAGTACGCCGTTATGGGTCTCTAATTATTATTTGATACGATGTGTGTGTGTGCGTATGTGTTATAAAATGTTTGCACTGTAAATACGAGTATGTAATGGACCACGTTTCGTGAACTGCGAATAACGAAAATATTATCAAAACCATCTCTCTCTCTCTCTCCCTCACTCTTGCTCCCCACCCACTACCCGCCACTTTTTCACCAGTACAAATACTATATAATATATATATATACATATTACATATCTATCAAATAGATATCAATTTGTGTGCGTACGCAACAGTTATCAAAATATTGATACTATTTACAAAGGGTGTATTGGTTTCCGCGGTTGGTGACCCATGATTTTTGGAGCTAGTATGGTACGAATAAATTACTTAACAAAAATATAATATATTATGTGTATATAAAATATAAAATGAAATAGGATAGATATATTTATAAAGATATAAACGTTTTTAATATAAAAAATAAACAATATTATACTTGAAAATCGTTAAAAAAATAAGCTCAAATGAACGTTTATATTATACAAATATTAATCATGCGTTCGAGAGTATAATATCATAATAATATATCATCCCCACACGCTTATCGAATAGCCAAACAATTACAGTTTTTGAATCTCTTACCTATATATCAGCCGTAAGTGATTCCTATTAGTTGATTTAAAAATGTTAGAACTTAATATCTATTGCATTTAACTATATTTAACTAATGTTCAATTCAGAAGAACACATCATATTTTACTATTTAAAATTATATTCACATATGAATAAATGTCAATAATTATAATAAATTATTTAATTATATGAAACTCATTGTGAAACATATAATTATTATTTGTGACAAACTGAATAATTGGGTAATGATACAAATATGCATAAACATGTAAATACGGTAATTTAATAGAGCGATTTATAATATATATATATATATATCCAGGGTTAGTTAAGAGGGTTGATGAAAGCAGAAAGAAGACACCTGGGGTTTCTTATCGTCAAATTATCTGATTATCATATTTCTTGTATAAAATATACTTACATTTGTGGCCAATCTCATTTGTATTATCAATTATTCTGTGGTGCCTCACTCCGAAAAATACTGATAACACTATAATTGCAATATTTTTAAATTATTTTCTCTGATAATCTTTCTAAAAATCCGAGTAGGTACCTAATGTAGATCTATATAAAAATGGAAGAACGTCAGTTTCTTTGTTCTCTATAGAATTAGAAACTACGGGGTTGTTTTCAATAAAAGTTATATCAATAGATTCTCAGAAACTCGTTGAGTGTTTATACTTTATTTTCCACCCTTATATGTTGCTATAAGGTGGTTCACACACGATTTAAATTTTGACTCACTCAAATTTATTTTTTTGTTTAAATGGTTACTATTGGTTAAAGATAGTAAAATATAGTTGTTATGATTGAATATAATTTTCTTTACCTATATTGCCTATTTAAGTATTATGATATTATTAATATTATTTTGTCATCTAGGATAATCAAGTCATTTTATATAAAACATAAACATACAATTGAATAACATAATTAAATTGTGTCAAAGGTAAAGTGTACAGTTATGTTTATATGCTAAAAAAATAATAATATTTTTCAATTGAAGCAAAACTCAAACGATGGATAGATCGATTATAATAGATATAATAATATCTGATTCAGACGGGTTATATATTTAAATTACGCATATAAAAATCCACAGGTTTCAACCGATTGGCACCAAATTTTGCACACATAGTATTTGAGATCTCGGAAGGGTAAGAGTTTTACAGCTATAGAAACTACGTTTAACATACTCATTCCCCCCAATCTCCCTTCTATGCTCAATATTAAATCTGAAATGTCCATTAAAAAATAATTAACTTAATATTGGAAGCTGGGTTCGTAATTTAATGTTGTTAATATTATATTCGTACAATTTTTTTTGTATACTTTTTCTGTTTTATTATCCCTTCATACATCGTTTTTTCTACTATGTTTCTCAGAAGCCTACCTTGTATTATAATATAATTGTGTAATTGATTTTAATTGTCGAGCTGTCATAGTTACCGACTAAAAGCCAATAAATAATAAAAATAAAAAACAGTTGTATTATATATCATAAAAGTACAAAGTGTACTCCTAAAGTCCTAAGGCTTATAGAATCAAAAAATAATCGACCAATTTCGACAGTTCCAAGAAGGTTTAGATAATTATAGATGGAACCAGTTATTTTAGGGAGGTTTACCAGCTATAAATATTTTTTAATATCTCAAATGCATATTCGTTTATTTCTGCTTGCAATTTTGGTTCAAGTAAGAAAAGAAGATATTTATCCCTAGCCATCGCAGTTAGGAGTGTCATATTATAACTGATGAGTGTGCGCACATCAAGCTCCTACACTTGGTATTGGCTCACTAATAAACGGCTGTTGTTGCACGAGTACTTAATCAGGTTATAGTGGTTGGAACGTCATTTTGTCGCAACGACGTTCCCCGCTTATTGTACCGAAGCCGAATCTACACAATGATGCACCGAGATTGCCTATACTACACGCCGGCCAATAAAAAAATATTCCTTAACAAATTAAAAAATATAATATCCAAAACGAGAACCTAATTGTTAACCCGAAAATGTATTCAAACTTCAATGAATCAATTTGTTTTTTTTTTAAACTATTATAATATTATTTTAATACAATATAAATTTCTAACAAAAATAAAGTAAAGAGTAAATGACAGGTCACGATTAACAATTTTATAGATACATAATCTTGAAACTGTCAAATCGTCTTGGTGACTATACATAGGTAGTACATCCTGAATACTTGACGGTTTCATTTAAAAAATAAATAAACTAAAACTAATCGCTTTATTCTCTGAAATTACTTAAACCCTTTCATAAGATTTTCCAAAAATTATTAATATTATAATAACTAGATTGTCCAAGAGGATTTTAAAACTTTATAATCGTTATCATTGAAGTATTTTTTTTACTTATATAGGAAAAAGTTATTAAGTAAAAGAGTATTTTAATTATTTTAGCGATGTTTTCCCGTAAAGTCAACGAATGCAATATGGAATAATATCCTATAATTAAACTGTCAAAGTTTTATGAAAAAAAATTGCTCGTAATATTTAAGCTCCTTGCACTTTTTCTTATGTTTTTAGACCTTATTTATCAATAACATTTTTCAACCTAAAACACCTTAACATAACTAATCGGTGTAATGGTGGATTATTATAACTATAATTAATACGCATTAAATAGATATAAAAAAAAATATTTAAGTAGGTTAAATATATTTTTTTTATTTTAAGATGTGAGGGCGTGTGGTAATTACAACAGAATATTTAATTAATTGGTTTTAATTTGTGTGCTTTTTATTTTCTGATACGAATTAATGTAGAATGGTTTTGGTAGTGAATAAACTTGGGCGATTTATATGATAAGAGGGAAAACTTTGACTAGTACACCCAAAAGTCCAATTTTTGTTTATTAAGGGAGAAATCTTGGAATTTGAAGAGGAAGTTGGTTGTTTTTAAAGCACAAATGGTTTCATTTGAAAGTTGTACGTGATATTTTAAAAATTAGTAGGTTCTTATAATTTTGTTTAGCTGAAAATTACATAAAAAATACAGAAATGTTCTCTGGTCGCTCTAAAAAAACATCACACAAATTTATACAGATTTAATTTGAAATTAATTCATATAGTTGACTGTGGTTTTTTGCACAAGAATAAATTTATTTACGATTTTATTTTAGCATTTACAGTTTATTAATTTTTAGGTTTTACATTTTTATGTGTGTCATAACAATGATAAAATATTACTTTCTACGTTAATTGACACAATGATTTAGTCTTTAATGCGATAAGATGTTTAGATTTTTTACGTGTTAAAGTGGTCTCTTTCGATATCTCCGTTTTTTTATTTAAAACAAAAAATAAATATATTTCACAGGTTAATCGCATCCCACGATTTTGGATGCTAGTAACAGTAGTGACCTACGACCCATCTGATAATTATTAATTGTATTATGTTATTAAGACCATGTTATTGCGAAATAGTAATTTAATTTGTTCGACGTCCAAGTTACGCTTGATGAATATTTTTTATTTTAAATAATTATTACAACGAACGTTGTTGTATAGCAGTAAACATTTCGTTGATGTAACAGCGTAGGTACATAATCGTATCGTACATGTTTACGACTAGTAGAATATTGATACGACAAGAGTGCTTGTTTCAAAAACACACTATGGTATGCAAATTTATTTAAAAATCTTTGTACGAGTTATAATTGCATATATTTTATCGTATGTAGAACGTTCTAATTGGTATTCACCACCATAGAATTATATACGGTTCATATCTGTAAACAAAATCCGAAAAATGTTGGCGTATATTGAACAACACTAAAAATAATCAATGAGCAAATAAGTTTTTCCTATAATTTTCGGCTCTTCTCAATTCACAACCTCAGTGCGACCGTCTCTCGTACCTACTGTCGAGGAAGGGGTTGATCTGCACGAGGGCGTGTTTACGCGTAGGCGGCGCTCGCGCCTGCCGCCGTCGTCACATGGCCACCGCGGCACGTTGCACATAACCACCCGCAGTGACGCCCGGCCGTCGCAATAGTGTGCTAGTCGGCAATGCGCTCCGCTGACCGAATCTTTAACACGTCACGTGGTCCAAGTCGCGCGGATATGACATCGTGGACATTTCGAGGTATGGTGCCCGTTTGAATAGTATATTATTATATTTTTTTAATGCGTGCAAATCGATAAAATGATGATCTGTCGTTGTGGATGAAATACCATAATAATATAGACGGAAATATCTTATAATATTGTACACACTGGTAAATGACGCTGAACTTAAGTAATAATGATTATGATATTAGGTAGGTACATAATAAATTGTATAAAAAAAATCAATTTGGCGGCTTATATCGTCCTCGTACCATGAGTGTACAGCACCGATAACAGTGGGACGACAGGTGTAGCGTCACTGAATTTTTTTCACGATCTCCGATTATAATAATAGTTAGAGGTCATGGTATTTATTTTTACAATATTGTGTGTACATTCCATCAAGCTTTAAGTATAACGAGTATTTTCAAACGTAAAATATGAAAATGGTTTTTTGTGTCTTGTAAAATTATAGGTTATATTTTTTTGAATGTTGATGTTTGCATACGAAATTGATTTCAATCATCACGTCATCAAGGTGTGTTCAGATTTAGGTGGTAAACATTTAAGAATATAAATACTGCGCCATCAATATATTTTAAGGTTATAAATATTTAATAATGTTTGAGGTATAAGAAATTAGGAGATTACGTAATATAGTACGATAGTAGGATACCAAATGTCATTTTTTAAATATGCCAATTAAATTAGATACCTATAAAACAATAAAACATATAGAATCTCAATAATTTATCCGCGAATGATAAAATGTAGAAGTTTTTATTGTATTTTATTTCAACCCTGAAAAATTATAAATGATTTTATTATAGCTATAGTGATTGGAGGTGTAATAAAAATTACAAACCATTATAAATTAATTATTATCAAAAAAATCAAAACAGATTATTTTATTCGGCTTATAGATTGGGAAACTATTATTTGACTATCATTATTTAAAGGATATTAATTGCTCATTGCCAAGATACATATACAAGTATAAGTAAACCTTACAAGAAATTATTATATTATGTATATTCAAATTATCGTATTTTATGTTCTGTAGGTAATGGAAAATATTAAAATGAGCTTTGGTTAAATAATAAGTTCTAACAAAAATTCCACATTATTTAAACTATTTACTCTTAAGTGACGTTATAGAAATACCTAATATTATACGAAACATTGTCAATATTTTTATGCCACAACTGTCAATTTTGTATATTACACATGTTTTTTTTAAAATTTAAGTTAATTACGGAATTTCCAAGCTCCATTGATAAATGCTTACAGGTGGTTTCTTTGTATAGTGTTTCTTATATAATAAATAAAATACAATTAAAATATTTTAATAGCAACACGAACAAGGTGTTAAGTGTTAAGTTTTTTTAGATTAACAACCAAATATTAATTTTTTAAATGTATTAACATATTATAATATGTATATCGTATATGTATATTAATGACAAACGTTGATATAATATTATATATCCAACAAATAAAATTACTTTATTGTAGATTTTATATTTGAAAAAAAATGTCGTATTCATTTGCAAATGCTAAAAAAATATACTTTCAAATAGTTTTAATAGGTACATGTTTCATTCAATAATTTATTATTATGTACCAATGTATATCTAAATTCCATCTAGGTAATATTTACAGTAAAACACCCCAGTTAAAATAGAAAAAAAAGCTGTTAAGGATTTATTTGAGATTCTGACTGTTTGTTTACTTCAGTAACAAACTTTGATTTTCAGAGCAGTAACAGAAATCTGAAAAGTTTCATTTGCAGTATCTTTTTTGAATGATAACTAGATACAGTTCGTACCTAATTTAGACTTGTGTTTTTGAAAATAGATTTACAGTTTGTTTTTTTTTAAGTAATAAATATTTTCAAGATTGTTTATGGAATAATTATTTCTATAAATTTATGTTCTTAAATATTCGTTTGATGTAATATTTTTTAGATTTGAGCACTATCGCATATATTTTGAATATTATAATTTTTTTTTTTTATTGAACTTAAGCCCGGTGACTAAGGCCATTAGCTGTTGTAGGGATTATGAGCTGTGGTAGGGGTAAGGTTGGTACGGTGGGTTGTTTTTTTACTATTGTTATGGTTGTTACGGTAGGTAGCAAACATGTGTATGTGTGACAAGGTTTATAACTACTATGAACCCGGGTGGTCACCCATCCGGGAGCTAGTAGCTGTGGCCGTTACTTACTCCCAGTCCATTCCACAACTTGTAGCAACCAACGCGCCACGCCAAGCCACTATTATAATTTATTTATGATGGTGTATATGTATTTTAATTAGGGACTTACTTAATATATATTTTTTACATTTAAATACAGCTTATAATATGTAAATAATGCCTAACGTAATTTGTTGAACCATTTTGTGTTTTGGATTATATTTGCATTTTGTTTGTTTTGAATATGAATAGCTTCACTTAAAAAACTGGATAAATTGTTAGTAGGTACTAGAAATGTAAATGAACGAAGGTATTTTTATTTTAGTAAACCTCTAATCAGTTTAATAGACATAATTCTATAAGGATTTTGTGAAGATATTTTGGTTTTACAATTTAAGTTTTGTCAACACACTTTATTGTAATAAAAACAATTGAATGATGAAAATTAATTACACTCTGGCTTAGTATTTGGAAGATTTTTTATTTCAATTTGAATCATAAGAGATTCTAATAGTATGTCTCTCTTAGTAGACGATAATCGATATTATTATATTTGTTGAGATTTTTTAAATTTAATGTTCGAACCTGTAAATCGGACAGACAATCATTCAACTGGGACAAATAACAATTATAATTTGTTATGCGGGTAGGAGACCCCATCTGGTCTAACGGCTATAAGCGATTTTTCTTACCGAATTATTCTCGTCGTTTTCTGAGCGTCCGAAGAAAACGATGTTGAAATGTCATCATTCTTCCGATGTTGCGGTGTCAACGGACAAACTCAATTTAATCCGTCCACACCGTCTTTGTAGTAATTCTCAGCCTTGAGTTAAACTTGTGTTTCCCTGCGTGTCTTTTGTGTGTCCGTGTTTTTCACGTCACCATTGGAAACCACAAAAATGTGTAAACTAATAATAACAATAAAAGACGAAAAAAAAACATACCCACTTAGGCTTCTCATCATTGACGTTGGTAACGCGTCTTTTTTTATTTTCTTTCTCCTCTTGCCTTTTGTCATTTGGGGCAATGAGTTTGACAATAGGACGGCTTATCTCGCTGGTGAAAATATTACACGGCACCGGTGATAAGAAGGCTGAGAGTGTATACAATGTCGGTGGTATAACGAGATAAATTCTTGGTTTACGGCTCTTTTGTACCTTAAACAGACTCAAAAGCACTGGGGTGGAAAAAATATTAACACATTTTGGTTGAACGGTTAAATTTTGAAAATAACACTTTAATCACACAGTGATGCAAATGTAGTATTTTTTTTTTTTTTAATGAGCTTGAGTGTACATTTGGAAATATATAAAACAAGAAAAAACTAAAGATTTGACATCTATAAATAAACGATCATGCTTCTTTATTATATTATAAAAATATCAAATCGTTAGTATGTGTATTCATATTATAAGAGGTCGTATCATTTCATTAGCTTTCTACATTTCTTGGTCCTATAATTTAATTCACACATTATTTATTATTTTATTTATTACATATGCAATAAATGAATCTGAATGGACCTAATTATTGGTCACTCAAAATGTCACTAAACAGCATATTTTTCAAAATAATACTTAACCACCTACTATACGATTTGCATATTCAGCAATCAGTACTATTGTGTAGTACTATTATAGTTGTAGGTATCTATTTCATACGTGTTAAATTCAGGATAGTATGTACACAATTACCACAGTAGTGGTTGGCTCACGGTTTGATTAATTATTTTTATTTTTATTCGTAGTAAAATACTGTTCTATATTCTGTACCTACCTACCTAGCTTAAAATGAAATGTGTGTGAGTGTCATTTGTATTTCTGAGAATACGCTGATTTCATCTGAATATATTTTATGTACATAATATGTCATATTATTTTATGTATATATTTATTATTTCCACGATTGCGGCCATTGATCATATTCTACCGTTTACTGAATGTTAAAGGCAGACCATTGTGATTCATATTTATTATTATGTAGTATTTTCAATGCACATAATAATAAGAAAAAAAAGACACATGCGTATTATGTTCAACGGTTCTCTATAATATGCTTATAATCTTAGTAAACGAAATACGAATATAAATTCTATGCTTATTGATATTACTAGATGTTATAAAGACGATTCTCAATAGCTCGAATTTTAATGGTCGGAAAGGGGAAAGTGGTACGGAAAATTTAAGTCTTGTGTTTTTTGAGTTACATAAATTATTCACATACACGTGGCACTTTTAGAGACAAGAAAACATTTTTAATTATTAAGGTATTAGGTTAGTTTGAGTTATTAGAGGGACTCGAAGGTACTTTCTTAATAAAAAAAACAACTACAGTATAATTATTTTAATAAATGTATACCATTCTACCAATATTAAATCAAGACATTTTAACACGGTTTGCAATTTTATATTATTACACTGTGTTTGACTAACAACAAATTATTTTTATCTTTGTATTAAATAATTATTTGGAATAGTTGGATAGTATTTATGTCCGAGCCTTCAAACTGTTAATAGATTTATAAAAATTAATTATTTTAAATATTTTAAACATTTAAACGTTGTTAGAAGTTTATCAAGTGCAATGTATATAATAATATTTGTTAGTTTTTTATTTGGTATTTATTGATTTCGTAATGCACTATACAGAAGATATTAAAAAGACAAAGATATATTTTTATCAATTTTTTATTTATTTAATACTTTAATTTAAGATATTTGTGCCATTTTATAAAAAGATATAACTAATTTTGGTATATTTTTATTTTAAAAAATCGAAGAAAAAGTTTTATTTAAAAAGTGTGGTATAAAAAATTAGATTTTCATCATGCAGCCTGGACTAA